TTACAATACATTCAGTAATACTGTATACTACAGACTGTAAATTATCAAGTGCAGTGCCCATACTTTCACAAATGAATAGCAAATGTCTGTGTGCAATATCAGAGTTTTATATAGTTTCTGAATAAATATACCTGTCTCTGAAAAGTCCCTCTGTCAATATTTCATAGAAATATCGAACCAATAAGATCCAGGAGCTTTCAAAGCTATCCAATTTAGGGATAAAGATAAGGAGAAGAGAAAATTTCAATAGCACCACAAATCCTTCTGAGCAGATGATTCATAAATGGAATGTGTATCTAACAAGAGAGAAACTAGCTACAGTATATCAGGCTGTCCATCAAAACTGAGCAGCCTGGTAAAGAGTAATCTACTGTAGTTAGAAATGCCACTTTGAGAAAAAATCAGTTAGCAATATCTTGGTCATCTCACAAAGCTTGTCTGTAATGGCAGGATGACAGAAAGGAAGTCATTACTAACTAAAACAGTAGCAAAGCATTTAAGTGATACTGCAGTGTAATGTGCTGTGTTGGGTTTATGCCAGACAAAGCTTTTAGGTCTAAATGTCTGGCACAAACCCAACAGAGAGAATCTGACGGTCAACACCATCCCTACGGTCAGTGTGCAAATTTAGTAGAGACTCGTTCAAAAAGATTCACAGCTCTAAATGTTTTCAAAGGTACTTCTACTATGTATTAACTCAGGGAAGTTAACATAGGCAATCATCACCTTTCACTGTTGTGAAATATACATATAAATGGTTTAACTAAAATGGGAGCATTATTATTTTTGTAAATGTAAGTACATCAATGTAATCATAATAGTATGCAATAATAATCATGGTACACTTACCTGCCTGTAATTGCATTATTTGAAGATCGAAGTACAGTATGAAAAAAGACAAAAATATTATTACAACTTTAAACAATACATGAAAAGAATAATATATTTTCAGAATTGTTGTAATGGAAAGAAATACATGTACAGTTTGCTGCCAGTATGTATGATTTACATGTCCAGTGGATATACAGTACAGAATACACTCCATTTATTTTTATTGGAAACTACTCCAGACCTACTTACCAGAGACTCTGAGTTGGAAGTATGCAATAGAGAATTCAAGCACACAGCCACGATGATAACAGACATTGTCACCAAAAAAGTAAAAATTGAACAAACAGTACCAGCATTATAAATGAGTAACTTCAATTTACATCTGTGTGGTGTGTGTATTCTTAAATATTTTCATATTCAAATTTATTAGCATTGCATTTTGTTTAAAGCAGTTTTCTTCTCACTTTCACAAATGTGAGCTTTCTGTAGTTAATACACTACAGAATGTGGTACTTACTGTAATCCAGTTGTTAAAAATATAGAAGACTACTGGAAAACAGCAACAAAAATTGAATGAATTACAGTATATTGAAAACATACTGTAATAATACACTATTTTACCATGTTTTTTATCGATTAATAATACAAGCATTTTTTGCAAAGTAGAGATTAAAATAAAAAAGCAAAAAGGTGTATCATTTAAAAAATGATCAGATTAATATTTACTTTTTAATTGTTCTACATTGAGAACAATTTGGTTTGTTTTCTGAGAAACTTTCTTCTGTTCCACATCAATCTAAAAAGATTAAATGAGTGCCAAAAGGTTAAGATTCTTACTGTCAGTTATATATATATTTTTATGTGGGTAGCTGCGTCAGCATGCGTAGGCTGCAAAGGAACAAGTAATAGGTTTATTCCATGCTGAAAAAAAGAAGAAAGAGAACACAACGTTTCGGCCGTGGAGCCTTCTTCAGGTGTGGATTTTATATATTTTTATAATTATAACATTTACATGGAACACATTTTAAAAATAAAATATTTTTAAATGGAAGAGATACTTTATCCTCATTGGAAGTTTAATTATATACCACATATACAGTATAAAAGTGATCAATCAAAATAATGTACAGTACCATATATATAACGTACTGTAAGTTGTGATCTATCCCTGCAATATAAGATAGTAATAGCTACTTACCTCAGATGGCTAATAAAACACTTATAATGTATGCAGCAGCTTTAAATACTGTAGAGTCTGACAGCTTGACAAATGATTCTTCCATTTATAGTAAAATACCCATTAAAAAAGAACACATGCAGCAGCTTCCCTGTAGATGGACACATTAGACAGTCAATGGAGAGTACGGGATGTTTATGTAAATTGTGTGTAGCTTGATGGGTTAAGATTGTGGGGTGTTGACATTTGCAGGTATTTACAGTACAGTACCAAGTGCTGTAACACAGTTTTTGAAACTTTTGAATAAAACTTAAAAAAGTAATGAACCTAAAAACCCTATTTAAGCACATGAACACATTTTGCTTGTTTGCTTACAATTGTAAACCAACCATATACAATAGTTCTCTTAATGCAAGACAGTTGCTTTAATAGAAAATTCAATGTGAGTGACTTGCTTTCAAAACTTATATCAATTTCTATTTGCTAACGATCGGTACTCATGAGTCTTAAAAAAGCATTCTTCATGTGGAAATTCAAATCTTACAGTTCTTTAATCAAGTTGATAATACCTAGAGTAAGAAACAGATATTAACATTTAACATACAGTATAAGAACATAATAAAGGAGGCCATTTGCCACATCCTGCTTGGATTGGTTGTTTAGCAGTTAAATGGGGAACTGCATTTCCAGTTTCTTGGACTCGTTATTAAATCAACAAAATCAGTTTGTTGATGGTATAGAAAGATTTTGAATTAACCACAAAATAGTAAATTAGTGAAATTACTGTATACTGTGGTCCCCATCGTTGTTTCACAGGCCAGAGATAGAATTCGCATGAATCACAACAAGATGTGGCCCTTCCTGCTCACTAGTCACTGTAATGTCGAATGTAATGCATTGTGTGGGCAAATAAGTATAGGTTTTGCAGCAGACATTTCAGCAGAAATGTTCCAAGGTGATCTGTATGTAGCGTTAACAAGCAAGAAGTATTTTTTGTCAAAACCATCTCGAAGTTGAGAGCAATATTTCTATTGGATTAAGAGCTGTATTCACAAGCCTGCTTGTTTAGAATGTAATAAGGTTGCTTCACCTTTTGTTGCCTCGTTCTGAATCACAGAATAAGGGGCAGTGTATCTGGAAGTTTTGCCTATTCTGTGATGGAAATTGGAGGTTTTACATGTTACTGTGTACATTTTACTTTCATTGTCATTTGATACACACTCATCAAAGGTGATTCTTTGAAATACAAAAACAGCATTGCAGTTACCCTTTAAGTGAATCAAAAATTTCATTCAGCTGTTTGTTAAAAATAGCCCACATTCTAGGTCTTATCCATCTAACTGGTTTTCCTGTTCCAGAAACCCACAACTCTTTGTGTAATAAATTGTTTTCTATTCTCTGTCTTCAGTACTTTTACTTTCCATGTTAAAGCTCTGAAACAGCCAACAGGTTTGAACTAGAATCTACACCCAGTAGGACAGGACTGTCTAACCTAAGTCATAGTGGGTCAGTGTGTCCTGGTCTTCAATTCAGCTCTGCAAAAGTAGCCATTTATTGGCTTAAGTGGACAAATTTAACAGTTAAAGATACAGTATATGTGACAGAAATGTAACTACAGGTACTGTATGTATTCTTGGCTGCACTTTACCATTAATGTGACCATTGTTTGCCTGAGCATTTGCAAACTCTCAGTAAGTTTCCATGTACTGAAACATTTCTTGTCAGGCAAATTTAAACAATGTATGCTGAAGTAGAGGCAAATTAAGGAAACTTAGAAAATGCCATTAACTGAGCATTGAGGATTATCAACACTCCCATGGTGATGCAATCTTACACATACAGTACTGACAACATGTACAGTAAGCGTGTTGTACATACTGTATAGTGCTTTGTGTGAGAATAGTTAATGACTTGTCTGAACCGTTCCTTATTTGCATGTTTGGAATCAGAGCTCAATTACAGTATATACACAATGATGTAATAATTTCTTCCCTGTGTACTTTCTGTTCCTGTGTCCTGTCAAGTAAAACTTTTCCACCAAATGCGATTGTTGAGCTAAAACTTGTTTGTTCAAGGTTATGCACCAGTTCTCTTACACAAATGTGTTCCAGGATACAGGATGCCTTCAACTGGCCATATACTGGCCAGTTTACCCAGATACTTCATAACACATATCCTTGGCATCCTTTGCATATCCTTGTTAATATTTTGGTTATTTAAGTTTAGCTTGTCACTAATACTGAAAGGCTTTATACTGTACTTATTGCAGCATCAAATTACATTACATACTGTATAATGTAGGTACTTTATACATTTTATGTCATTAATGGATATTCATTATATTCTACCTTCCCCTTTGAAGCTGAACCAATACTTTTACAGGTCAGAACAGAGTTACATACAACATGAGATGTTGTAATTAATGGGTTACAGTCATGGCAGATTCAGTTGGTAGTTGGAAATCGATAAGAGGAAGTACAGTATGTGAGTTCAAATCCTAAATGGGGCATACGTGTTATACCCTTGAGCATGGTACTGCAGTCAGATTGCTTCAGTAAAATACCCAGCTGTGTGAATTGGAACAAATCACTTCAGAATAGAAGCATCTGCCAAATAAATTAATAATAACTTAAACTGAGTTATTGAAACCCCTTATGTCTGAAGACGAATGGTTTTAAAGAGAGGATCCAATAGAAAAGAATTTCTTACTGTATACAGTATGTTTTGAACAATTTAAAATCTGTATAGGTTCATTTAATTTCCCTACTTCTACAACAGTTTTATCTTTCTTTAGTTTGTAGCACAAACTATACTTGATTCAGGATTCAACATGCAAATTTTTATTTGAAATGCATATCACAGCACTTTTGTTTTCTCAGTGTAAGTACAGATAAGGTTATCGTTTTTTGCTATTAAGGATGAAAAGTGGTCCTTGGTAAGACTCAGTAGATTTTCTTTCCACATTGACATGAGGCGGCACACCAAGATGAAATCAATGGGTTCTCACATGCATTCTTAAGCTGCATTAATACTTTGCAATTGCCAGCTTTGTCAAATTGTTCGCATGGGTTTGCTGAAAGAAAAACAATTGAAGAGAAGACATTCAGAGAAGTACATGCATTGACAGAGAATTCAACTTAAAGATCTGGAAAGTATTTCAGAGTTATACAGTAATACAGGACATAAATAAAGTTCTATTCATCTATCCATTATCAGAAAGCTGCTTATTCCTGGCAAGGGTCATGGTAACCTGGAGCCTGCCCTGGAAGCACAGGGCAGAAAGAGGGCAAATCACACACATTGCCAATTTGTTCACCATTTATTCAATCAATTCTCTCAAGGTGGCAGGAAACTGGATCAACACAAGCTATTTGGACACAGGGAGAGCATGCAAACAAAAAGAAACCTTGGGTGCTACAGTATGTTCAGAAATGTTTTATTTGGATGTCAAATTTCCTGATTTGATGCATTTTCATGCATATGATGCATATGATATTTCTACAGGTTAAATTGTATTAAATTATTAGATTATACTCACTGCACAGCCCATCTTCACAATCATTTGGACAATCACCACATGGAGGTCCAGCTTTATAGGGAGTCAGTAAGGATTGCACGTAGTTTCCTCTGTATAAGATATATGCACAATATAAATAAAATGATAGAAAATTAGACTCTAATAGGACAAGCAGTGTTCATACAGTTTTAAATGATAGTACATGTATAGTATATAGTACTGTATGTATAGTATACATGGTGAACATGGACATTTCAACCACCTTGCTAAAATTTTAACAGTTGCCTTACAATACATGTACTGTACTTATTTTTTCAGGTTATTCTTTGTATTTACTGTCTAAAGAATGAATAGCCCATTAATTGATATCATAATAGTTACTTACGCAGGACAGTAGTGACAAACGTAAAAATATTTATATGGGCTTTTTGGACAATAAGCAGCTGCACAGCCGATCTTGTTTGATCTGTACCACACAACCTGGCAGCCAAAGGAAAGAAGGAGGAGAGAAACAATGAATGCAGAATAAGGATTGTGAGTGATGGTAAATATTGAAGCCTGTGAAGAGTTCAAGGTAGTCTGAGATAATCAAGTACTGTAAGTTTCAGTAAGTTTGTTTAATTCATCTACTACAGTGGATAAAGTGAGGAGGAAGGCTAGATTAGATGAATCTGAAGTAGAATTTTTCTAGGGCACTAAGTAGTCACTGAGAGTGTGGGCCAGGAGATTGCATGTTCAAATTCTAGGTAGGTTGCTGTTGCTATCGTTGTTTAAATGGGTTTCAGTTTGTATTCACAAATAAAAAAAGAGGATTTGAAAGGGGTTAGCCTGGTAAAATAAAGCTCAGTCTGTCTTCTGTGTGTGACAGATGGGTTACTAGACCATCACACGCTAACTCAAGCCAAATACACGTGCCTTTTGGAACAGGAGGTATTAGGATGAAGTCTTTGCCCAAAGGTGCAGCAGTGTCCAGAGCAGGGAGTTTACACTTGAGATCGAGCTGAGCATTGATCACTACTCTACACTATCCCAGAACACACTGCAGTCCCGCAATGCTCACATTCATTTGAAAGCAGTTTTGTTTTTGTAATGAATGGATATTTCACTGTCAAGGCTATGGATTTGTTAGGAGTTTAAAATAAAAAAAAAGCTGAACAGAGAAATGTCTGTATTTTACCTGCGTGTAGTGACCAACAACTCCACTCTGTCCCACATTGTATGTAAAGTTCTGAACTTCATTGTACCAGTCCTGAATGCCCTTCTCCCAGACACTCACGGCAGTAGACATGTAAAGGTTCTCACCACAAATGGTTCCTAAAAGGGAGTTAAATCATTACAGGTGAAACTGTAATCTGGAAGCTGCAGAAGCACTGTTAGTATAGATTGTACCGTGCTTTCCATCCTCTTCAGCACACTAAATAAGTTGGCAACAAAACCCAACCTAACTGTTCTCATCTCCACTAACTAAATTGACATGAGATTTTTCTAGACTAATAATAATAATAATAATTGCTTACACTTATATAGCGCTTTTCTGGACACTCCACTCAAAGCGCTTTACAGGTAATGGGGAATAATGAATGCTGTTTCAATGGGGAGATCTCGTGCATGCAGAAAATATTTCCCCTAGACTAGGTACTGTATCTCCGACCTTGGTTGAAGAGAACCTCATTGCAGTAGGATTCATACTGTACATGCAGGTAGCCTTTCCAAATACCTGGAGCAATATAATTGTGATCAGTTGTAGGTTAATTAGGTGATATAGAAATAAATAGAAGTAATTTGGAAGGGAAATCTAGCTCTCGGGACTTTTATTAAGCATACTAGCGTAATTGATTAATAGCATTCCACAGAGTAGTAGAGTTTTCTCAGTCATTGGAAGCAGGTGACTTTAGGTGACCACAGGGCATCTCCAAGATAACATTTTGGGACTGGAGTCTGGAGTCTCATCATATATAGAGAATTGTTAATAAACATGATTTACCTGTTGTATACCATGTAACTGAAGCTGTTAAACTGCAGTATTTGTTTACAGTTTGTTTCCTAATATGTCTAATTCATGTAAAATTAAACATATCAAAGTCATAATCTGAATCCAACTTATATTTTGCAAACTGCTAATCATACAGTATTTATTTCACGCCACTTCCCTGATAGTTCATATTTGAGGGTAAATATTTTGTTCTTTTTATTAGTCTGTGAGAGGGCACAACAATTTGTGAAATAATCTACTGAACACTTATTCTCTAAATTAAGGCAGAGTGAGTGAGACCAGGGCAAAAGTATACATTTGCACCTTATTAGCAAATATTCAGAACACGTGCTTAATGAATATGCTTGTACAAGGCGTGTTGTAATGCCATTAATAAGAAAGGTAGAGGTTTTCCATTTCCGTGGTTTTTCTTTGGATGATGCGCATTGAAAAAATGGTGCTTACCATTTACTGTCCTCTGAGCAGGAGGGCTGTGCTCCATGGCACATTCCTTTGCCCACGCCTTAGCATTGACAGCAGCGGCAGAGCTCCAAGACTTGGTACAACATATCAAACAACAGAAGACGATAACGTATTATATATGAGAACAGATCTAAAGAAAAAATAAATAAAACTGCACTAAACGGGACTGTTAGACTAGTTTGAATCAGCATTTTCACTAGAAAATGTCCCTTAGTACTCTCTGTACTAAGCCCCTACCACTTTATTGACTTCATGAGGGTAATCAAGCAAAAATGGCATTGTGTAGAGAGGCATACCTGAAAGATTGAGAATTCTTGAGAATTCAAAGGCAGTAAATTATCAAGAGCTATTTTGCCATCATATCATTCTTCAATGAAGTGGACTTTGTATGTCTGAGGAATCTGATTGAATACATACAGTACCAGAAGATGATATGGACCTTAACAAATGTTTAAGCATTTACGCATAAATTGGATAGCATATTTGTTTTATAGCATTGAAGTATTTTAACTTTTTTATAATGAGCAGATTATGCAAGATCTTACCAAAAGGGCATCTTACCATTTCAAGCATGTTGCTAGCAGATGGGCTCACTGATCTCCTCAATGCATTGTGTTTGTCCACAATAGCTTTCTGGATATCACTCTTATGAGTATATATTTCTGGAAATAATAGTAATAGGTTTAAGAAACGCTTATTATCAGAATGACATAGCAGAGATATGGAATCAGAATGGATGGAAAAAGTTTAGAAACATTCTGCTAGAAACACACAACATTTTCAGTCCAAGAGTAAGCACATCTAAAGGTTGAAGGCAGTGGCTTTCATAAAAAGGAAATGATCTAGTTCAAGGAATATAATGAACTACATGCACAGGTAACTAAGAACATTAGACATGCAAGAGATAATATTACAATGGAGGATAAAATAAATAAGACAAGATGCTCTTTTAGTGTTATAATGCTGAATTAAAATATTTTAGAGATAAAAATTGAAAATTTTTCACTATCAAAAAGCAAACGCCTTATGTTTTAAATCAGTTCCCAAAGAAAAAATCGACAACATGTATCAGGCTGTGTCTGTGTAAAGACAAAGTTATGTTAAATTGTGTTAACTCAGAAGAGGCAGAAGTGTTAGATATACTGGAAGCACCCAAAATTAACAAAATCTCCAGGCCTTGATAGAATTCAACTAATTGCATTTAGAAACGATAGGCATTATTTATAGGCCTTTAGCTGAAAACTGGAAAATGTCTAATATACAGTTAGCAAATTAATAAAAAAAGGTTTGCGATACTAAACCAAATAGTCACACAAACACACACATGTTATTTCAATTACATGCAAGGTTATAGAAACAATAATTAAAAACTAAACCAGTTTTTTTTTAAAACGAATATGTCCCTAGAGGATAATAAGCATACTGTAGCTTAAGAAAGGTAGGTCTTGATTAACTATGGGTGTTACGAGTTTTATGAAGAAGTATAAACACAGTTGTAATGGACAGAAACACAGCATATTATTAGTTCATTGGGCCAAAGCAACTTACATCGGTACATATTTATACAGTACAGCTCAGCATTTCATTGGAGCTGTCTGAGTGAATGAACGTGCTCTAGGGTATGACAGCTGTGACCCACCTGAACCCACTACCACCCTACTGTATGTTCTATATGATATTGTATGTTTAGATGCTCAGAAAGCCTCCTGGATGATGTTCTTCATCCAGACAATACACACTCACACCAGGGGCAGTTTTCCTGAAAGCTAATTAACCTGGAGAAAGCCCATGTGAGCACAAGGGAGGACATACTGTACAAGTTCAACATAGATGGTACCCCAGGAATTGAACCCAGGGCCCCACGAATGTGAGGCTGCAATGCTAACCACTGTACCACCATGTCAGCCATGATGTTTTGATAAAAGATTCATTCTCAAATTGCAGGTGGTGGGAATTCAAGAACCATGCAAGTATTTGACTTAATTGATTATTATTAGACTCTGATGCCTTGGATTCTTTCAATAACAACCAATTAATTAGGAAAATTATATGCATAACGTTAATGGAAAGGTACACATTTTGCAGTGTCAATGCACTGAAGAAATGTTGTTTATTAATTTTATTGATGAAGTAATATCAAAGTATAAATATGCAAGATAATAATATAATCAATGATGAAATCTTTGTCCTCACATTTTTAGTATTTAATGTTTAAGAAAGAAATATTGAAATAAAAGATTAAAAGAGTCTTAAAGTAACTATGCCACATTAACTGCAGGATTTCATAGTACTGTAGATTTGGTTGATTTATATCATGTCTCAACAGGAAAAAATACCAGAAATTATAGAAGACCATTATATATATGTGTCACATATACATAAATGACAGATACAGTTTCCGATACAGATTGTATTATTCTAATTATTTTTTTTTAAACTGGAAATAATGAAAATATGACTTAAATAGGCAGGGCTTAGATCCAATGAATAATACACATTGCGTTAGACATTGAAGAAGTAAGTGAAAAGGCTTACCTGATAGTTTCTTTGTTATAAGGAGAAAACAGAAATAAATTACATTCAATATTTTTTCTTAATATAAAGAATTTGTGATACAATATTATTATTCTTAAAAAATAGTGTCATACAATGGTAATGCTAAAGCTTTAAATATACTTTTTTAGGTTTTCACACTTTTTTCACAACATATTATCTAATCACAGGAAAAAAATTATACTGAGTACATACAGTACAGTAAGTGCCAGTATACAGTAGTTATTTGGCTTATTGATTGAGATTTTTACTTACCATAGCAGTGCACAGATGTAAAACTGCACTAACACACAAAATCAGCCTAAGGGCAGACATCACTGCGAAGACACTGAAAGAAACACACATATACTGTATACATTCAGTGTGATCCTGAATCGTAAAGTAACATAGACATCATAATTCAGTTTACTGTTTTGAAGGCCCCAAGCCAGGTAATCAAAGAGGTGGAACAAAATGTATTAATTGGCTGTAATAAAATGTGACATTTATGTTGAAAAGAAAAGAAAGTTTGATACATCAGAAAACATCTTATACACTAAGAAACGCTGGTAAAGCAGAACAACCCATTTTACCTTGAATGATATATATTGAGATCTCCATTGTACAGTATGTTAAAAATGCTCAGAGACTTAAATCTCTTTTTGCTACCTGTGGGGATTTAATTGTCTTTTTTAAGATATACCGTAGGTCATTGTTTTTACAGACAAACTAACTTTGGTACAGTAAGGAGTATTTGCTTTTTAAATCACACAGCATTCATTGGAACAGATTTGTATCCACAATCTTAAAGTACTATAAAAATAAAGATTCTTAATTATGTTGGTGTCTAGATCCTTCTTTAAGCAACAAAAAAGAAGATAAAATGTGTATGTAATTCAATTCTATCTCTTGTAAATCAGGTCATTCTTCCACAAAAGCTACACTATCATATAGCCAGCTTAATCTGTGTCAATTTTCCTTTTTGTTTTCAAATTATATGCAGATTCAAAATCACAAAATAATTTCTTTGTGAGAGCCAAGGATCCCACTTACCTGAAATCAATAAGGAAGAGACAGCAACTGGATTGCTGAATGTCACACAGAGAACTAGTATTTATTGTAGTTTTCTAAAACCACAAAATATAAAACTCCCATTAAATTTCATGAGACAATAGATACCTAAGCTGTTTTCAGTCAATACATGTGGGTGTCTTCCCCTCTTCAGTGGCCACAACTTGTATAGGAGTGGCAGTTAATGGCTTTAATACTTCAAATTTACCACTTTGTGGCTACTTTAGGTATAATAGTCAACTATTGTGACCTATGTAAATCCAGCAAATGTAATGCATTTAGGGGTGTACTGGCCTTTACACTAATGCATTCTGTAGTCATACAATTGAAACCATTTAGACTTAAATAAGACAAAGCTGTCACGATTGTAGTCCCTCCCCCTTAAGGGCGCTCCGGCTCTTTCACTTCCATGTTGATTTTGTGGACCTGCTCCCTGTTCCTGCCTCCCTACTTAAGCCAGACTCGCATTCTGTTCCGGGCTCTGCATTAGTTGCTGTACCAGGCGAGTCCGGGACCTGTAGCATCTGGTCTGACAGTTTGCCTTGGATTCAACCCCCAGGACACCTGCGCAGCTTGGAAAATTACAGTTGACTAGACAAGAATTGACAAATCATTTTGAACTTTACAGTCTTCTAAATTCCCCTTTTCACTTGTATTTCCCTATTTATTCATGACAGCAGTTCTGAATAACCGTCATACTACAAATACATAGAGAATGGAGAATAAATAGTACTACTCTAGATGAACTATAACATTTTAGTTCCATGTAAAATGATTTACAGTATCCTGTAACTCTGTGATAACTATGTGTTCAACAAAGGCTGACTAGGCCTAAAGTGAGTTTAAAAGAACCAAATAAATAAGGAATAAAACACTTGTGATAAACATTACGCAGAAAGTGCATGTTAAGAAGTGAAACGCAATAACTTAGCCTGTATTAATTTTGCAGCAGATGTTTGTATATGAAATGCTTATTGCTTTTATTCATTGGATTCCTGTCATGACATTTTAGTTCATCACATTGTTACATACTCAAAACGCCCCAATATTTTTATGGTTCTCAGTCCTTGTATTGGAGTAGCCCTGTATCTGCTGTTCTCACCAGTGTTAATCGGGGCCAGTAACTGATCTGCTTGATGGTTTAGATTTTTGTTTAAAAAAGTCAATTACTTCCAGCAACCTTAATAAAACTTTATGTAGTCTCTCTTGCTTTAACTCTCTGATTAAGAATTTGTTCTTTTATATCTGACCAAACACAACCTAATATGAGGGACAGACAGAAGTGAGAATGATATTTTGTCAAACACTCCAGAGTGAATCAGTTTTTCCTTCTGGTCTTAAGTCCAATTAGGTATATTTAATCTAAAACACCTGAATGAGGGCAGTGCTGAAACCCACTAATTAGCAAAGATTTTTAGTCAGTTTCTTTTATTACACAGCTTTTTATGAAAGCAAATTATTAAAATAGAAAATTGAAACTAATGAATTAATGTATCTCTAAAAAGATCGAGGACATTCAGGACCAGGAAAGAGAACCATAGAGGTACTGTATGCACTGGTATGTTTAATATTTTGGGAAACAAATTCACATGAAGGAATACCCAATTTCTGTGATTAATAACGGTTGATAAACGTTCAATACAACACAGACAAGTCAATGGAAAATAAAGGCACAGATGTGAAAGAGACTTACCCTTATCCAAGCCATTTTTTTACCCTTTTTCATTTTTTCTTTTTCATTTGTAATGACTTTCCAGAATGTTTGAGAATTTGTTTTTCACTTGGGGGTTGTGCGTTACAACATACAAATAAAGGTAAAACAAATTCTGGTTTAATGTGTCTTTATTTCAGGTAGTGTTTGAACTGTTCATCGCCAACAAGAAACTATAGCTGTCAGAATGATGCACTGTGAAGGTGTAACTTCAAGGCATATTTGTACAAGATATAAAAAGATTCATTATATCAGGCAACATTCACAGTAAGACAACATACAGTACATGAAGGCTAACCAGGTTTTAGAAGAAAAAAGGCTTGTGTTTTTTACATATCTTATCAAAGACAGCTAACAGTTTCATACAGCCGACACAAGTAGGTAATACACAATATAGAGGATATTCCATGAGCCTTGAACATCAAAGACTGACTAAATCTAATTAACCTGAGAAGGAAGAAACCAGAACTATTACAATTTCTCACTGTGTTCACCCTGAAACATTCTGACAAAATGTGGAGAGTACAGTCGGTGTACTTTTGGTTGCTGCCTGGGGAGGATATGAGATGATGTTGTTGTTGTTGTTGTTGTTAAATTCTTCAAACATACAGTAAGACGTTTTATATTTCCTGTTGTAGAGGTTGTAAAACTTTAAAATATGCTCTTGCTGATTCATTCTTTCTTTGATGTATTTAAGCAAAACCACAATTTTAGCATCAAAGGGTTTGACTGAAAGTTTTAGTAATTTACTTCACCATTACCTGCAATTCATTTTCTTTGCAACATAGTACAAACTGCATTTAATGCAGCTGTATAGTTTTTTGAGGGTTGATCTCATTGTATGGCTTACGGAAGATACAGTAACATAGTGCATCCTTTCTAAGACCCACCATTGCAGGCAACTCCCATAAGACTTCAGCTTTTCAGTGGGGATTAACACTCTGAGATCAGGTCAGTTTTCAAAGAAGATTCACAGCCTAAGGTAATTTAGGTAACTCTGACCAGCTCCTTCCAATAGGCATCATTCATGTCTAGCGCAGAAAATGGATAACTGGATTAGACAAAATACAACAATGTGAGACCAATATACTAAAAATGTAACAGTCAGTTCTCATTGGTTTTGTGAAATACAGTACATCTTAAAAGAGAAATGGGGTTGTTTTTGGAGACCCACAAATGTGTTCAGCCAAAAAAGGGGGGTAAAGAGCCAGAAAATACTGCAAATAAGAAATCTTTTTATCCTTTTTATTTGTTATAAAATATAGAATAGGTTGCTAAGGGATGTGGCAGTAATAGAAAAAAGCTTTTCAATGTGTAATTTCATTACTGCAAAGGAACTGTACTGCATTCTAACCATGACATTTAAGATATTCTACATTAAACAGGAAAGTCTTAGTGTAAAAAAATGTGAGAAATGTCCTGGCCACTGTGGAAGTTTATTAAAAAAATATTGTACAGGTACTGTATATACTGTATGGCACTGCAGTTAGCAACAGATGGCTGCTCTGTATTTCACAAATTTCTTTCAAGGGAATTTATGAGGGGTGGCATGGTGACACAGTGGCACAGTGGTCACCATCACTGCCTTGCAGTAGTGGGGCCCTGGGTTAAATTACACAACGCCGGGGTGCTATCTTTGTGGAGTTTGTGTGGGTTTCCTCTCGGTGCTCTGGTTTCTTCCAACAACTCAAAGACATATTGATACTGTAGGTTAATTGGCTTCTGGGAAAACTGGTCTTGATATGAGTGAGTACTGTATGTGCATGTTTCTGTCTGTGTGTGCCAATGAGATGGAGCGGCGTCCCATCCAGGGTGAATTCTACCTTGTACCTGTTGTTTGATGGATTGGGCCCTGGCTCCCTTGGAATTTGGAGAAATAGTTAGAAAATGGATGGATGGATGAACGATGAAGTTCATTTTCACAAGAACAAGTCATGTACTCCCCCCCCCCCGTATGTGAAATTGTTGACAAGAAGTGATTGTACTGTACATTGCATTAAATAAGACAAGACAATGTTTTATTATTATTTTAATTTTAATGACAAGTGTACTCGATTGTACTGCTTTTGACGAATTAGCATGGCTCAAAAAAGCAGCTTGGCGTTAACATTCCGGGACGGAGATCAGATTATTTTGTTTGTGCAGTTGCAAGAGGCAAGGCACCAGGACTGAACCTGGGCATTGCTGCATCCATACTCCTGTCTCAGTGAAGGGCAGTTGGTGTACTGGTTGATGTATGGGCAGGGGTTAGCTAGACAGAAAACCGGTGAGAAAACACGTTGGTGAAGTCAAGAGGCGAGAGTCAGGTAAAAGTAACAGACCCCAGCACTGATTTTAGAGAGCTAATGAACAGAAACATCATTTGTTTTACTCTAAATGTCCTATCTTTGTTATCTCAATTTATTCATCCATATATCCAGTATTTCAAGCCTTTTTTTTTCTTTTCTTAAGCCCATGTTCTTAATTTATATTGAGCAGGAAGGGCTTTGTCATCTCATTGTGTTTTTCTGTTACCTGCTTCTTCTCAGTTTTGCAAACTATAACACAATACATACAAAATGACCATCACATATTTTCCATGCTCATCCGATCCATACATTGAGAATGCAATCTACTGTGTGTGTCTGATTAAAAGTATTTGAATAATTATGTGATGTTGAAAAACCTGATTTCCATCTCTGTAAACTCAAGAGTAAAAGCATATGCTCAACCTTTAGATTTTTGGAGTGCAGACAGGAATTGCAATGAGAGATAGTTCTAATTGAACACTAGACACTTACTGCACAGTCTGTCATCACATGCGTTCGGGCAGTCACCACAGGAAGGCCCAGCCTTGTAAGGGTACTCATACTGATAGTTTCCACTGCAATACACATCACAACAGAAAACAAACGGTGTATATACAATAGCATTTTATTTGAAAAAAAAAAAGCTTTCTGAATAACACAAAATATGTTCAAACTAAAATTTGGGACTGATCATCCTCTGAACAACACTGTCTCTTAAATGAACGCTATTCAGAGGAAGTTTCTGAGATATTCAAGCATTATTCCTGTGACAGTCAGAATTCATTATGAGCCATTATATTTTGGGTATTTTGAAACAGTGTTGTCTCTTATATCTGTGGTGAATTACTTAAAAATTGTGTGACTATATTACATCTTTTTTGTCAATTAAGCATTATTGTGTCATTTATAGCCATACTTTTTAATGACAGCAGTGATATGACACAAATTTGATATGGACCAATGTCTAAATATCACTCATCCATAACTTTTTACACTTTCCATATCAGGTACATTACAACAATATATATTTGAGATCTACAATTCAGTATTCTTAAAGGAACATGCTGAGAGGACTAAATCCATTTTAATTCTCATCTCCTTTGTGCATTAGGTTTACTACATGCAAAATGTCTTTTGTTCTGTTCCTCATAAGCATTGTGTTCTGTCTGTTGATTGGCAGGGACAACACTGTTAGTGAGTGAGGCAGACAGCATGTTTAATTAAAAGGTACCTGTAATAATATATTGACATAAAAAAATGAAACGCTACTCCAAACACAAAGATTCTTACAAACACTTGAACAATCACTGGGGCCAAGATGGGGCTGTGGTTCTAAAAATATTTTATTTTCATATTTATCTGTATATGTATAGCTCTTACATCACGGGTAAGCAAAGTAACCAAAGATTGAACTAGCTGCTAGTCACAAAGTAGTTTAAAAGTGAGTTCAGAGTTCAAATAAAAAAGAGGGGAAAAAAAGAATTGCAAAAAAATGTAATGAAATCAAAAGTTCAGCTAAACATATTTGACATCATGAGTCCATTTGTTTCTGGAGACGAACAAACTGTAACAGCTATCCACCCATTTTCTTATTGAAAGAATTCTAACTTGCTTCCAATTTGCAGTTGCAGGGCAAGCCGGAGCCTATTACAGCAAGCAAGGGAACACATTGAACAGGCCGCCAGTCCATCACAAGGCAGACACACAGAAACAAACATAGACATGCATACACTCACACTTAGGGCTTATTTTACCAGAAACCAATTAAACTAGCAGCATGTTAATTGTGCAAGGAAAATGGTGCATGGGAGTTTGTACAGTATGTTCTTCCCACGAACATGGGAAAACATCCAAAAGTCATGAAAATCTCATCTGTATCAAGATTTAGACCCAGGGCCCCAAGGCACAGCTGCACCACCATGCCACCAAACAAAAAGTAGTAACCTCCTTAAAATAAAAAACAGTGGAAACTGAACAAGAAGTGACTTACAGAGGACAGTAGTGACAGACGTAGAAATATTTGTAGGAGGAATTGGGACAGAAGGCAACTGCACAGCCAATGTTATTTGACCTGTACCACACAACCTGAAACAAAAGTAAAACAAGAAAAAAGTTACAATTTATACTCTCACAGGTTTTTGCAACTGGTATTGAGGGACCTCGGCACTCAATGCTCAATTAAAGTGACATTTTTGTAGTCAGTCCCAATTACAGGAACAAATGTTTCTCAGCTTCCATAATGTGTATTGAACCACAGTGTTTACGCAGCAGGTTAGAAAGTTCAAACCAATGTCTGAACTACAGTGTGCGTGAGATGCTATTGATAGTACAGTATTTTAGCATCAGTCAATTTTGATCAGTTATTTTAATGCCTAAATTCTGTATCTGGGAAAAAAATAAAATAAAATGTATTAAAACATTTATTAGGATTCAGTGCCAACCAGCTAGGCATTAACCTCAATTACAGAAGAGATATTAAAGTTATTAAAACATTGAATAAAGCAAAATCATCACATGGAAAGATACCACAGAATATATAGGAATATTTATTTTGAAATTGAAATTCAGTATAAAAATATTAGTTTCCATGCATATTAGCATAATTATTATAATTCGTAAAATTATACCAGTATTTTCTCCCAAAACACAGATTGTATCTAAATAAAGCATAGTATTTATTATTTTCATACCAATTTACCTTTTATGATAAATCTCATTTAGAGTTACAGTATATATTGGTTGATTATGTTTTAAAAAAAACATTATTTGAAAAGCAAACAAGATTTCTGTGTTCTGATGTTTTTATTCTCCTTGCATACAGTATATGCATATGCTGTAGAGTTTCTACGCTATATATGAAGCATTTGATCCGTGATATACTATACAGTGATATTCTGCTCATTTTTAAAATGTGGTTATTGAACTCACCTGAGTATAATGGTCAATAACACCACCGTTCACTGATCCCACTCCATATTTATAGTTGCTGACTTCATTGTACCACGACTGAATTACTTCGTTCCAGGTACTGGGGTCGGTAGACATGTACAGATTCTCCCCACATTCACTAGCTGTTCACATGTAACATAACATGTTCATAAAGTTGTTTTTAAATTCTAGATACACAGATCTGTGACATCCACACCTGATCCTGCAGAGCTGCATTTCATATCGACATTCATAATAATCATTTATGAGTAGACACCTTGAAACAGTCAATATATAATATATACAGTATATGCAAAGGAACAAATAATAGGTTTATTACATGCTGAAAAAAAGAAGAAAGAGAACACAACGTTTCGGCCGTGGAGCCTTCTTCAGGTGTCAGGTGTCAGAAGGCTCGACACCTGAAGAAGGCTCCACGGTCGAAACCGTTGTGTTCTCTTTCTTCTTTTTTTCAGCATGGAATAAACCTAATACTTGTTCCTTTGCAGCCTACGCATGCTGACGCAGCTACCCACCTGAACATATACAGTATATACTGTATATTAGAGCCAGCAGCCATACAATATCACCCTGCAACTCCCAACTGGTAACCCACTGAAGCTAAGCAGGTGTGAGCCTAGCCAGTACTTGGATGGGAGACCTCCTAGGAAAAAACTAAGGTTGCTGCTGGAATAAGTGTTAGTGGGGCCAGCAGGGGGCACTCAATCTGCAGTCTATGTGGGTCCTAATGTCCTGATATAGTGACGGGGACACTATAATTTAAAGAAAAAAGGTGCCCTCCTTTGGATGAGACATAAAACCAAGGTCCTGACTCTCTGTGGTCATCAAAAATCCCAAAATCCCTGGTGTCCTGGCCAAACTTCCCATTGGCCCTGACCAATCATGGCCTCCTAATAATCCCTATCTAAAGTCACCATTACCTATATATACAATATATTAGCGCTATATAAGTGTAAGCAATTATATAAAGCAATTAACAAAACCAATTCAATCCAGGGTGAAATGAAAAACATAGCTATAAACATAGCTACACCAGGACTAGCAGTAAATATCAGGGACACAGAGCATAAATACACACTTACTTACTGGAATTCCTCCATTGGAATTCCTCAACATTTTCCGTACAGTGTGGTAATTTGTATATGAATTAATATACTGTAACTGTTATTTCAAATAATGTAATTTGAAATAAGATCAATGTTTACTGTTTTTTTAAGAAATTCTGTTCTAATTACTACTAAATGCTATTTGAGGAATAATGTTTGTGAGCCAGGGATTATTGTTGATTTCTATTGAAATTTTCAGTCAGCATCTAAAATACTGTATAATGCAGAACCTGCCTTTTCTACCCATTACTTTATTTTTTTCAGTGTGCCACATGGTGTTATTTAACTGGAATCTGGGAGGAAATCAATTTCCAATCAAACTAGCTGCCCGAAACTGTGAGCCTCATTTCGAGCACACTTAACACCTCCCTCCTCCTCAGCCTCACCCTTGCAGCAGCTCACAAGCTCATTCCTCATACAGTAAATGAGGGGAATGTCAGAACACTGAAATTTGACCAGTGCCATCAAACATTTCCTCAGCCAGGCCAGTTAACACCAAAGCATTAGGTACAACACCTCTTTATATTTGTTAGTTCTGCTGTTATTAGAATTTGACCATACTACTGAACTTTAAGAAGGACAGCTTTTTAAAAAAAGTAACTGAGTGTGAGGCAAAGGACACGAGAGAATAATAAAAAGTTCCCTGAAGAAACTGAAAACCAACTCTAAAATCAGGAAAGTACTGATCTTACTTTTAATCCGTCTGCTGCTGTCAGGACTGTGGTTCATGGAGCAAGTCTGGGCCCATCTCTGGGCATTTGCAGCAGCCTCTGTGTTCCATCCCTTCAAGTAAGAAATGAAGTTATTACCTGAGTTCATTGAGTTTCTTAAAGATTATAATACTCTCTCCCTATTATCCTCTGTGGGTTATTTCTCATTCACCTTTACAAACAATGTTTAAAAAATCCATCTTCCTTTCAATTCTGCTTAACAATTTCCACGCATTATTTTGGTTCTAGTATTCTAAAAGCCAGGGAAAGAAGTACCAGTCATGGCTGAGCCTAGACTGTAGAAAAGAAGGAGGTCTTTGGGGGGCTGAGGTCAGGAATGTCAGTGTCCACAGTCCTATCCGGAAGCATCCGTCTGAGAAGGAACCAGTCCTTAAAGTGGATTTTGGGAAAGACCAGTCTTTATACAGGGCTTGTTTGAATTCTACAAAAGCTATAGATGTACAGTATCACTATATCTGTAGATGCTTCACAGGGATCTGTCTCTCTCTGAGAAATGGGGATAAAAGGGACAGTAACAGCCAATGAGTTCCAGGGGTGCATATACCTTGGTCCTAGTTTTCAGGATGGCCAATCCTAAATAACCTGAAAAGTCAAATCTTTTGAGGAGGTTGACTGTCCTGGGCACAACACCTTGTGCCCAGGTGTGAAAACTGGAAACTTCACTGTGCCGAAGTTTCATTGACATTGAAGTCATTACTGAACTGATCTACAGAGCTCTGGATTAAGGACAAAAGAGTTCAACCAGGTTCTGTTACTTTCTTCAGTGACATCAAGCTCCAGCATGTTTTCCACCTCTTGGAAAAGTTCATTCCTTTTGGCATTCAGGACCCGGTAAAGTGGCAAGCCATGCCACGCCTTCAGGAAATATTTCGATGCGTTGTTCTTCTAGCATTCACCCAAATAAACTAGAAAATACAACAGTGTTGCTATCTAAGAAGTAAGAGGCTGCTTCTATGAAATTCCCTGAATGCAAAGGAAAATGTTCAAAAGAACACCTGAACATAGAGATAGGAAATGTCTGTACATTTTCTATTTAGGGCAGTATTGCCCAATATATCCAAGGCTTCAAAAGGACCCACAGCACTTGTTTTTATTTTCTTGAAACACTCTACCTTTTTTCCATGTTTCTTTCAAAACACAGCAGAGCCCTCCACGATTCCACAAGTGTAACCACTTGAATAACCTGATAAATATTTTAAATATAGAATATAATGATGATGATGTTATCCGGTCAGTCCGATCCGACTCTCAGCGATTCTATAGGCCATCTCTCACCACGCTTTCCTGTCTTGGACTTTCTCTTTCAGCTGTTCTATGCCTAAGCCAGTGTCCGTTTTGATGGCGTCGAGCCACCGTGTTCTTTGGCGGCCTCGTCTTCTTGTTCCACTGACCATTCCAAGCATCATTGCTTTCTCCAATGAATCCGATCGCATCACGTGACCAAAATAAGTGAGCCAGAGTGTGGTGATCTTTCCCTCAAGCGAAATTTCTGGCTTGATGCGCTCCAGAACCTCTTTATTGGTGACCCTTGCTGTCCATGGTATACGTAACAGTCTTCTGTTACGGATACCATAGCACCATAGCTCGAAAGCATCCATCCTCTTTCGGTCAGCTTTTTTCAGGGTCCAGCTTTCACACTCAGACATTGATATGGGGAACACAATAGCAAGGACCGTTTTGCATTTGGTTGTGAGGCTGATGTCTTTGCTCTTCAAGATTTGGTGCATGCTCAGCATAGAATATAATACATAGGAAATATACTTTAGAATATCATACAGAGGTGCCATTTCTTAATAATCTCAGCTTTATGTTTACAGGCCTCACGGCCGGATGAGGATCATTCTGACTTTCCCAACTGCTGGCCATTGGAACTTCTCTATTCATGCTGTGAGGCCTATAGTATGTTCAGCATGGTTAACATTGCCTGGACAACGTTTGTTAACAGCTTCTGTGGACAATGTCAAAATCACAAGAAACTTGCCCAGCTACAGGGAATGCTGTTGTGCAGTAACCTTGGCCAGCCCACTCCCAAACAGTGTATGTAATTGCTATAACCTAAAAACCATATAATAATCCTGTGGTCCAAATTAGCAGTTTTACTTACAGAAATTACTCACATTCATTCAAAAGGTCAATACTTAGATAAACAGAAAGTTTCTTTCTAAATTACCAAGCAATATACTGTAAGAATACAGAACATACTGTAGCACACTGATTACAATTAGAAAAAGACAGTTAAAATATAAAGATGTTTAAAAAATCCTTGTACACGATGAACATTTTTATAAAAAGAAGACTTTTGATTGATAAACCAAAGGTTAAAAAACACTGTACCATCTTCAGCATGTTGCTAGCAGTTGGAGACACATTTCTCCTCGGGTCATTGTGCTTTTTAACAATCTCTTGCTGAACTATTCCATTGCTCGTTGAAATTTCTGTAAAAACAATACAGTTCTTGTTTGTTTTGGGCAGATAAAATGATCAAATTATATTAATTTACGGGGGAATTACTTTTCAAAGAATACTAGGAACTTACGTGACTTTGATTCCAATGTAGAGATAAGCAGAGGGAGAGAGAAAAGAAAAACATGAACAGTAATTAAAAAATGTTTTTCATCTGTACACAACATTATTATGTACAGTATTGTATCTCTTTACACCATTATAATGGACACTGCAGAATAAAGGGATCAAATACAACATTTCACTCAAAAAGAATATGAAGTCTAACAACTACTCCACATTGATGCTATAACAGAGTACTCTCAATGAAATACCCCCCCCCCATACTGTACGTTTGAGAAACTTCAAACAGATCAGACCTCATACAAAAGCAATACATTGTAAATTCTATTTTACTATCAGCCTTGCTCAGATTAATAGTTTGTCAATAATTTTTATTTTTATTCCACACTCTCAAAAGAACAAAGACTGATTACTATGAAAGTCATTGCTATTTACTCTCTACCAATTCTATCATCCATTCTGTCCACTTACCTTTTGTTAATACTGTTAATGTACAGTATAAGGTACTGTACATAAAATATATATATATAGACAAAACACAACTTTTGTTCTTTCAGGTCCAGTTCAACCCTAATTAAAGGAGTAGAGATGTAGTTTGAATTAAGTTGATGAGAACAATATCCTGATTGTACAGCTGACGCTGTTGGAAACCCCTGCATTTTGAGGAGAGATGAGCGAAAGAGCTGTTAAACTAGAATCTTGACATTATATAATTATAAGCTAATTATACCTTATTATGCCTTAAGATAAGATATACCTTATTAAGACAGACTATAGTTGTAATTTAAAAATTGGTTGAATTATTGCCTTAACCAACAAAGATGTAGATAAGGAAACAACAAGTTTACCATAAGTCTTAAGGGTGTTGAGACCCCCAAAATAAAGGTAAAATAGTCATCTTCAGTTACTAAGATACAGATAGATATGAGTAAGGATATGGTTAGCATACTGAAGAAAAAAGGTAGGGAATGGTCGAGTAGAGTAGAGTAGAGTGAGCACAGTGCTCTAGAGAATAATGTTTTGAGTGATGATGGTGACGGAGTTACTGCAATATAACTTCTGAGTGGAGAAGGCTTTGGACTACATCACTTCCGGAACTAAGGTTCTGGATTTGGTTCTACATAAAACCCCCCAAAATTATGATTGAGACAGACCACAAAATGATGGCGAGGAATCTGAAGGTGGAATTTGAGATTCACAAACCTAAGCTGCTCTAGACCATTTTATGTGTCATCAAGTATGAGAGGCACTGGGCAGGTGGGATGGGGTATTGGGGATCACAGTGAATGAGCTGAAACTGCAAATGTTGGGGCTGCTGCAGGAATGGTAGGAAAGGTAGACAATGGAAGGGAAAGAGACAAAGATATTGCCGGGCTCAAAGATAGAGGACAGACAATAGCTGAACGGAAAGAATGTACAAGGCACAGAATGCAAAAGATGTGAGGAAGAGTGACACAAGTAAAGAAAGGATGGGCCGAGAGGCTGGGGAGGAGGTCGGATGGGCTGGAGCTCCATGGAAATATAATGTTTCATGTTTCCAGAGATAGAAGCACCTCATGATCTCATGATGACTCTAGTGAGCAGAGAAAATTATTAGTAAGACTAGTTTGGATAGCTTAGAGCAAAAAACTCTTGGAAAAAAGACCTAGGACTGAAAACGGCTTTGACTGAGCTTGGACTATGGTGGATAAGACATAGGATGTAGTGATGAGTCTGAATAATGGAAGGGCAGGGGGCTGGGAGGTAACAGCAGGTGCTGTGCAGAGTGTATGAAGAGTGTAGTTGAGAAATAGTGTGACAGTGGATTGGAGTTGGTGTTCAGTGAAGAGCTGAATTCCAGTTTAAACATTTAGGTTCCAGAAAGGAGATGGAATTCCATGAATGAGAGTAGTGAAAATCAGTGAGGCAGCTAGGGTTTCGTTTCTATCAATTAGATGAAGGAAGGGAGCCAAAGAAAGTTGTACTGTAAGGTCTGTCTCTTACAAAACTAAGTGCTGAAAGGTATGATTGAAAATAATAATAATAATAATAATAATAATAATAATAATTGCTTACAGTTATATAGTGCTTTTCTGGATACTCCACTCAAAGCTCTTTACAAGTAATGGGGACTCCCCTCCACCACCACCCATGTGCAGCATCCACCAGGATGATGCGACGGCAGCCATAGTGCACCGTTCTGGTGCTCACCACACATCGGCTATCAGTGAGGAGGAGAGTAGAGTACTGAAGCCAATTCAAAATTAAATGTGCAAGTTACTAAATTGGATTTATATTTATATTGTATGTAGATTGGCAAAAGTGGCTGAGATTAGGGCTTGACCTCCTCCTGAACTATTGCAAAAAAAATCTCAGACAGTTGTACATGTCACTGTAAGGAAATAAAATATCACAAGTATCCTTATTTCTGTATTCAATATACATCTTTGTATACATTTTTATATTATACAGTTTTTTTAATAATCTAGCTGAACCTACAGTATCTGTGCACATCAAATTGACCACAATTATATTTATTAAAGCAATTACAGTATATTTACAAAATGGGGTTTGTAAGTGATTACATTGATTGTACTGATTTGATTTCTTAAGCCCGGGTTACAAATTATTTTTTATCAGCAAGTAGTCTTGATATGCTACATGAAAACCTATTTACTCAAAATAAATTGTTTATTCAAAGGCTTTAGCTCTTTAAACACAGAGAAAAAAAACAAGAAAAACACCTCAAGTTACCCTTCATTCATGCATATTAAGTAGAGAAGAAAAGACTTGCACCACATCCTACAGTGATACAAATGATGTAGAAAAAATACTGTAGGTGATGATTCTAAAATCATAAATTAAATCATGAATTAAGAGCAGTCATCCATTCCTAATCACAGGTGTGTGCCTTTCCTAACTCAACCGATTTTGATTCTGTTAATCTAGGTTGCAGTGAAGGTTTTTTTGTCTAAAAATTGTTGTAAAGGCATCAACCCCTTTTTTCAGTTAATGTTGTGGTAATATTTGTGTGAGATCAATCCTGTGATTAATCACGAAACAAATTAAGTTTTAATTTAAAATTTAATTTAATTTAAAATTATTATTTTGTATTTTAATGTTAAATTAATATTTTATGTTAATATATAAAAATCATTGAAAATATAAATATAGATTTCTTAGAAGTATTTAAATGAATACCCTATACTTAAAGACCTAGTATACTACGTTGTTCATAGTATTTAATACAAAACACTGATATACTGGATAGTATTAAAAATTAAAAACAAAATTGCTATACAAGTGTTGGTTCTTCATTGGGAGTTTTACTTACCAGGTCATCCTGTGTGAAAACATTCTGCAGTAGTGCTATAAAGCACAGTGCACAGCTGAGTGTAAACATTGCTGCAAAAAGAAAAAAAAACACACATTCATGTATCACAGCTCTTAAGTACAGTTGTCACAATATTCAAAAAGACAGTTAGGTAATACAATTGCCATAGTGTTTTGAATTTCTGAAAGTCACAAAAAAATAAGAATAAGAAATAAGATATTCTGCTTTTATCTGATTAAGATAAAACTATTGTTGCATACTTCATAATATTTTTTTTAATGGACTCCACCTACCTCAGACTTCTTTAAAAATATTCTGAAATCTGTGGCTTATATAGCTTTTTTCCATGTTAAAACGGATAACATATTGGCACATAGTGTACAGGTCTTGCATTGAAGAAATACAAATACTGTATATAGATAAGAGTGGTACTGTAGATTGCATATGTTGTATTGTATCACTATTTTAACACAGGTTTGTATGTTTGCTTGATGTGTTAGAAGCACGTCTAAGCATGGGGTTTGTAATTATGAGTTCAAGTGACTTTTTAAAAGTATTTAAGTATTGTTCCAAGAATGTCTTTCAATCGAATAGCAACCAGAGTTCTAGTGCCAGAAAAAATATTTTTGTACTGTACTGTACAAAAGTACTGTACTTACGTGATATTCTGGCCCCTTTTGTGACACTGCAAATCTGACCACACATGAACAAAGTTTCAAGCTGTGCATCAAACTTACTAGCTGTGCTACTTTAGATGTTAAGCTGGATATCAGACATGCAAACCAATTTTCACCAGCCAGCAGCCATGTCACTCTGCAACTCACAACTGACAGACCACTGAAACTCAGCTGGTATGAGCCCGGTCAGTACCTGGATGGGAGACCTGCTGTTGCATCATTCAGGTAGATGCTGCACATTGGTGGTGGTGAAGTACTTTAAAGCACTTTGAGTGGAGTGTCCAGAAAATAATAATAATTTTCCCAGAAGCCAATCAACCTATCAGTACTTCTTTGGACTGTTGGAGGAAACTGGAGCACCAAGAGGAAAACGACGCAAACATGGGGAGATCATACAAACTCCACACAGATACAGTAGCAACCCAGATTGGAAATTAAACCCAGGTCCCCAGTGCTGTGAGGTGGCAATGCTAACTACTGCACCACTATGCTGCCCTTCATTTATACTGTATATAAACTAAATGTGTATATACATCTAGATGTGCATACATTTACGTACAGTTCATATGGTTTTTAGATGTTTTATATAGACACAGATCAGGTTTTCCATACAATAGAAAAAAGCAATGACTAATTCACAAGTGTAACTTTCATCAATGAATGGTTATCAGTCACTCATGGGTCAGATACAATACGCAATCGCAGGAAAAGAGCATCTAGTGGAAAGAATTGTTATGATTCTACTTATCAAACATTTTAAACAGATATGTCAAATCCAGATAACTTTTTCAGTATTAACGCAATCATATCATGTTTGCCCAAATGATTAAAGCAAAAATGATTAAAAAACATTTGTTATTCATGTTAATGTCAGGAAAATGTCATGATGGAAAATTTCACAATAAACCTCTTTCATTCAGACCTTCTAGAATCTTTCTCCTGATTGTTTTATGGAACCACCTCAAAGAAAAGTAATGGGGTGTACTTGTTCCACACATAGGCCTGTGTGCTCAGCATAAATTACAAAATTACCACACATCAGTGATTAGCTGAAATAGGTCCAAAAAGTAGATTAAAATCGTGGGAGAAAGAGAAAACAATGTTTCAGCTGTCGAGCCTGCTCACACATGAAGAAACCTCCAAAGCTGAGACATTTTGTCTTCTTTCTCTCTACTTTTCCTTGTGGAACTTTCACTTGTAAACTCCCAGAGCTCCAGCAGAACACATTGATGTACTTTTTCCTTCTGTTTGATTTGCATTTGTGATATTGTTGTTTTGTGTACACTTTCAGAGTCAATATTTTTATTTTCCTCAACCATAGTTTGGTAAGAAACAGCTGTGTGGCTATGAAAAAGTTAATTCCTAGGAATTTAATGTGTTTTCTTACATAAAGTATACAGCTAAATGTATCTTTTTTTTATCTGTTTGGGTTGGAGATCAAACGGGATATACAGTATTTTACAGAAAAAAAGTGTACTTTTGTGAAATACATTACAAAAGCCGTGTCCATAGATACCAGCTTTTCATAGCTGCCTGGAAAAGGAGTATCATACAATGTCATGCAAGAGCTTTTTTTTAATGTCACGTTGAGTTGGCAAATTTTATTTTATGACCACTTTTAAGGTACTGACAGGTCAGTAAGACTCAAGTTATTTTGATGGTTTTTACCTCTTGTTCAGCCAGATGGCTCTTAAGCAGGTGTATCACCTTCTCTGATCCCAGTTTAAAATGCCTCATTAAGAGCTTAAGTTGCTTAAAAATATCCACCCTCTTGGTTGCTT